GGCGTCCAGGAGGCATCCTGACCAGATGCCCAAACCACCTCAACTGGCTCCTTTCGATCCGGAGGAGCAGCGGTTCTACTCCGAGTCCCTCCCGAATGTCCGAGCTCCTCACCCTATCTCTAAGGCTGAGCCCGGCCACCCTACGGAGGAAACTCATTTCGGCCACTTGTATCCGCGATCTCGTTCTTTCGGTCATTACCCAAAGCTCATGGCCATAGGTGAGGATTGGGACGTAGATCGACCGGTAAATCGAGAGCCTGGCTTTCTGGCTCAGCTCCCTCTTCCCCACGACAGATCGGCTCAGCGTCCGCATCACTGCAGACGCCGAACCAATCCGCCTGTCGATCTCCCGATCCCTCCTACCCTCACTCGTGAACAAGACCCCGAGATACTTAAACTCCTCCACTTGAGGTAGGACCTCTCCCCCGACCCGGAGGTGGCAAGCCACCCTTTTCCGGTCGAGAACCATGGTCTCAGATTTGGAGGTGCTGATCCTCATCCCAGCCGCTTCACATTCGGCCGCGAACCTACCCAGCAAGAGCTGAAGGTCAGAGCTGGATGAAGCTAGGAGGACCACATCATCCGCAAAAAGCAGAGACGAGATTCTCCTGCCACCAAACTCGTCACACTCCACACCACGGCTGCACCTAGAAATTCTGTCCATAAAAGTGATGAACAGAACCGGTGACAAAGGGCAGCCCTGGCGGAGTCCAACCCTCACTGGGAACAGGTCCGACTTACTACCGGCTATGCGGACCAAACTCACGCTCCTCTGGTAAAGGGACTGAATGGCCCTTAACAGAAAGCCACCCACCCCATACTCCTGGAGCGTCCCCCACAGGGTGCCCCTGGGGACACGGTCATAAGCCTTCTCCAAATCCACAAAGCACATGTGGATTGGTTGGGCAAACTCCCATGCCCCCTCCATCACCCTTGCAAGGGTATAGGGCTGGTCCACAGTTCTTGACTCATTAGCACCACTAATGTTTTTTTTTTAATTGTGTCTCAAAAATATCAGAGTATTTTATAAATTTGACCTTTAAATTACCATAAATTTCCGATGACGTTTATTTTGGCACAGGCACAGCTGTTATAAAATCCCACCCAGGGGTGCTGAAGGAGCCGATTTCTGTGGGGAAAAAAAATAAAAACAGAAAAACAAAACAAATATTTTTACTTCAAACAATGAGCATTTTAAGATTAGATCTGTTTTAGGACCGCAGATACACTTTCCACTTAGACTAGCCAGTAGCTCACATGTCAGTACAGAGCTGATCTTTGTTTCTCCAAATGCAGTCTGTTGAAAGAGCTATCTACAAAAAGACATCAACTGCATACACGTTTTTAAGAGAAAACCACACATAATAACCAATTTACACTCATTACACCTCTGTTTTATGCTGTTGTGTTCCTTTGTGGGCTTTCCTGCTGTCCTTCACACTGTTTTCAACAGTTTTACTGATGTGCCCTGATACACGGAGTCTCTTTTGCTTAAATGTTGCAAAATAAAATTTTAAATGATTCCCGGCTGGAAAAAGATTTAGTTTAATTCCTTTATGGTGTAATTATAAAGAAAAAGGAAAAGAATGACCCTCGCGTTTGGTCGACGGTGTTTTGGCGTGATATGTGCACACGTGTTTCATTAGTTCCCACAGATGCTACCAATATAATCTCCAAGAGCATTTTTATTGGCATATCTTTACAGCCTCTGCACTACAGTATTCGTTGGGGGAGGACTATTTTCCGGCACTTTAATGGAGTCCTACAGCGTTACTGTCATGACAATACCATGTTCACGTCTAGCACAGATACGAGGCAAGAGTTATGACTCTTTCTCTTCCAGTAAAGCTTTGCTCCATCTGAGAAAAGCTTGGTTCAACCCAGGGGCATTAGGGGGCATTGCAGCTTCATTTTAATCCCCCCCGCAATGCAATTTGCCACTCAGACACCTCCTGACTGAAGTCTGACACTGATTAAATGCTGTTATTGTGCAGCAGAGGTAGTTGTTTCAAAAGACGCAGTAAAACTTTAATGTTTATGGGGCTGAAAAGACGAACAATTCAGCATTTATTAGAAATGGTATTGAATGAAATGATCATTTCAGTGGGATGATGTCATTTACAAATATTAATGGTATTTGTTATTTTAACCCGCCAGGTAATAGGCAACATGTTTTCAAATATAAGATTTACACCATTCCAGAGTGAATAAATAAACAAATCAATCAATAAATAAATACATCAATAAATTATTGCAGCTCAGGACTTTGAATGTAAGAGAATGCAGTCTGGACAAATTTGAAAAAGTGGAGAAAAAATGGTAATAAAAGTTTCAACCTTTGAATGTTATTGATGGCTACTAAGTGATTTCATTGATTTATTAATTCTTATTAACATATGCATATTATACTATTTATATTATGTCTTTTTTTAATACTGTTTAAACTTTTGAAATGCTTGGCTTTTGTTTGATTTTCACATTTATTTGCACTTGCTAATTTTTTTTAAGTTTCTGGTTTAGGTTGCAAATAAAGAGTAAAATTATGCACAATTAATCAAATCAAATATGGCCACTTTCCAATGAAGGATCAAACAGCAGCTCAAACAAAAGGGAACTACACAGGTTCACCTGTTCACCTGGCTGGACAGTTTTATGTGCTTGATACCCTTTTTAAATAGACATTTATTCATGTTAATGCAGTATTTTCTTGTGGTTCTTTAGAGCAGGAGCTTTTGAGCAACATGAACATCCACCCATTGTCTATACCTGCTTAGTCACGCAGGGTCTTTAGGGGCTGGTGCCTCTATCTCCATCTCTAGGCAAGCAGGTGGGGTACACCTTGGACAGGTTGACAGTCCATCGCAGGACAAACCACCAAGCACACACACATTCACACCTAAGGACAATTTTTTAAAATAGAAACCATGTTTTTGGACTGCAGGAGGAAGCCAGAGTAATTGGAGAACCCACGCAAGCACAGGGAGATCATGCAAACTCCATGCAGAAAGACCCCAGGTTGGGATTTGAACACAGGACCTTCTTGCTGCAAGGCAACAGCGCTAGCCACTGTTCCACTGTGCAGACCCATCATGAATTTGATAAGACATTGGCGGTCCTAGGGGTGGGACCACAGGGGCACGGGCCCCTGTTGAAATCTGAGTGACCCCCTGTGGTGCCCCTGTCTTGTCACTCATCTGTCCTTCACATGATAATCAGATTATATGTGGATAACAATTCTGAACATTAGTGGTGCTAATGAGTCAAAATAATAATTTCCCATGTGAAATCATCTGTACAGAGGTTGGACTAATACTTGGCCCCTTTAAACATAATGTGGCCCCTTGATGGCCCCGTACTCAAAGAAATCCTATAGAACCACAGCTGAACAAAGATCCTCGAATTCTGTTATTATTTTTGTGTGCTACCCCTAGCTCACCATCTGTCACGAGCCTGAGGTGGGGGAGGTTGGACCCAAGGTGCAGGAAACCCTAAACTACACAGAGTTGCGGAGTACAACAAGTAAAAACACCTTTATTCCAGAGACAGGGGGGTGAAATAACAAACGAAGGACTGGAATCCAAGTCTTCAGCCCAACAAGCCAAGCATCCAAAAAAAAAAAAAAGATTAAAAACCTACAAACAGGGAACACTGGAGCACAAGCAGCAAACATGTTGACAAGACAATACCCCAACAAACACTGAAGGACAAGACAGGGTTTTATACACAGAGGGCAGGTGTGTGGGAGAGAGAACTGAAGGGAGACTGGTGGTGAAAACAATAAACTAAATGGGAAGGAAAAACAAAGCAGAGGAGGGGATTAAACAATAACCTGTAAGACTATACAAAAATAAACCTAAACAGAAGAATAAGGGCACAGGAGAACCAAAGAGAAATAACTAATGACCTAAGGAGTGGCAGAACTAAATACATTGAATGGCAGGGAGACTAATTAATCAAGCAGGGAAGGAACATAAAGTACTGAAGGGGGGAACTAAACTACTATAAACATACAATACTAAGGATAGGAAAGCTCATAAACTTGAAACAAGAACTTAAATGGGAGATCTAATAATGGGGAACAAGAGGGAAACCTGGAAGGGGCTGAGGACGCAGAACATGACGCCATCGGCCCCCATTGTTTGGGTCCTCCTTTGAAAACTTTATAGAGGCGCCCCTGCTCCCAAACTCTTTCATGAATGGATGACCTAAAGCTGCAACCTGCAGACCTGCACAGGGGTTCCGATAAGAACTGCTGTAATCTGAGACTCGAATACCACAATGACGACATGAAGGGAAAAAAAAGAGTCACAAACTTCTCTTGTGACATGCCTGGACTGTCCTCCCGACGCGCAGCTTTGCCTTGAAGGTTCCTGGTGGGAATGTGGTGGCTGCTCTGGACCGCCGCTCTGCAGCCCGGTTCGGCTCTCGGTGCGCCCCCCCTCCAAAAGCCGGAGATGCACACACGAGGTCCATCTGCCTGGGTGGTCTCTCTACTTTAGTGAGCTGTTGCTAAGCAGCTAATAATAGTCGTGTTTGCTGAGTAATTTTTGCCCTCCTGGAACCAATCAGATGCAAGAAAGTCCTGCAGTCTGACAGCCCCAGAGGCGGGATCTTGAGTCTTTCTCTTTTTTCTCTCTCTCGCCCCTCCTCCTTCTCTGCCTCCAAATGGAGAGAGGTCTTTTTCTCCACTTCTATTGAATCTCAGAGTTGGCCGTGACGCGCGGCCCAGGGGAAGACCACATAGATCTCAGCAGAATGCTGCGACCATCGCGCTTTTACGCCCGACGACTCGTGTATGGGAACCAGTTTGCGCAGCTCGCCTTTTGAGGGAAAACTCGCAGATTTTCCTGGAGGAGACTGGAGTGGAAGCGGCGGAGACCTCCGGATCGCGAAATGTTGGGATGGAAGGCGCAGACTTTGACTCGCCGTCTCCAACAGGAGTATGAAGTCCGACTTCACGGGTGTGAGTTCTCCAAGAGTGAAACCGTGTCGCCTCGGGATATCGCCACACGCTTTCGGGGGAATACTATCAAGTGGGAAACGGTAACGCAGTCCCCGCAACATCATGGCCTCGGCTGTTAATGCGCCCTCCGAACAGGAAAACAGAGACCCCGAACGGCCGAGGATAACGCGGAGGAGCAGGGGGGACTATACCCGCAGCACACCGCTGGATTTGGAGTATTTGCAGCGGCCGAGTTACTGCGATGCGGGCTTTGCTCTGGAGCAAATCTCAGAGGTGCTTCTATCTTTCACCGGAGAGCGGTTGCACGCTGTCGGTCTTGTTGCATTGACAAAAAAAAGTTGCCAAACTTTGGTCCTGATGGGTTAAAGAAAAGAAAAGTTCCAATTTGTTTAATTTCTGCAGCTGGATTCAGATGCAAGCTTCATTTTTATGATAGGAAGCAGCCTGCAGGTTTTTTTTATCAGACACCAAAGCATCCCACAAGCATCACTTATGATCACAACCTGCTGATTTCCTGTTAGAAATGTAAAAGTTGGTTTGACAACTTGAGTGAGTTGGGGGGGGGGGGGGGGGGGGGGGGGGTCCATGTGGCTGCCCTCTTCCGTTCACAAACACTCTTCAGAGTACCCCCCCTGTGATGGCTTTTCCACTCCCAATCCAGGCCGGAACACACAGACAGCTTCACGGGGAGAGGGCTTTGCGCGCGCGCGCGTGTGTTTACCACACGCACCCTTTCAGGGTATTTATTACTTATTGTATGCAGCAGAAGCAGAGGGAGCGAAACCATCCTCAAAAATTTCCCAAACTCCAGTTTATGTGCAACAAAAAGGCTGCTTGGATGGATTATTTAGGGGGAAAACCATGAAATGACTAAAGTGTTACATTTTTATAATGGAACTGCACTTCTTTAAAGATAGTTTTGCAGTTTGAACATGGCTCAGAGTCTTTTAATGCAAACAAGACTTTGACTGATTGTCATTTATTTGAAAATCCTGTTTTGTGTTTAACTAAGCTCAGAAGTTCAGGTGCAAAACCACTTTTATGCTCCTTTTTGCAGCATATTAACAACGATGCTATAGCAGTAATAAGAGTGTATATGTGCAAAGGATGAAGTGTGAGGTGCACTGATTCTGGATTGAAGGGCTGATACTAATTACCAATTGTTGCCCTGATCTCCTGGTTGATCTCACATTAACAGAATATATTCTGTTAATATCGGAATAAAGAATTATAATAAAACTTCCCATAGAATATCTGTTTTTCACAGCAGGAATCAGGTCTTATCGATCCTGAATTTGCAGACTGGGAATAATGTACATTTTGTTGTTGCTGCCTAGCAATAATGTGTTCACAGACCCCCCCCCCCCCCCCCCCCCCCCCCCCCACCCAAAAAAAAATCAGATTTGTGAGTTTCAGATTAATCAGTGAAGGCAATCACAATATTGGCCACTGTTGGTACACCTCTACATAAAAAACCCATTTTTAGTAAAAATCTATTTACGACTTCTTATGTGTTTGACAGTTATCTCTTTATTTACCTAAACACATTCCAAAATCCAGCTTCTAATCTTCTTCTTGGCTTGGCTTATTCATACATTTTAGCCACTGCAGTAAAATAACTTCACAAAGGCATGACGCCATTTCTCACAAGACGAAATTGCAGTTTTCACACATTACCGACCATCTGTGCACGTTAGTGGCTTAGCCCTTTACCTGCCTCTTTGAACCACTTATGTAACCTTTCCTCCGTGCATCCTAGCCTGGTCAGATACGTTCGCCATGTTCGTGCTTTCACTGACACCTACTCTTGTCTTGTCACAGGGGAAGGCGACTGGGAGGAAAGCGCCTCTGTGGCTCAGAGCGAAGTTCCAGAGACTTTTATTCAGGCTGGGCTGTTACATACAGAGGAACTGTGGAAAGTTTTTGGTTGTAGGCCTCATGATTTTTGGAGCTTTCGCCGTGGGCTTAAAGGCAGCTAATTTGGAAACAGACGTGGAGAAACTCTGGGTGGAAGGTAAGATGCTGATTTATTGCTAACTATTTGATAAAATGCTATTTTCTTTACAGTTTGCTGGAATCGAACACATTTCAGTACTTTCGAAGCTAAACGGTCTCCCGTTGCGTGCTGGGATATATCCTGAAGGAAAGATAAAGGTTGGGGGGGATTGTTTATTGTTTAGGTTCTGGAAAGTAGCCAGAAAAAACCCTTCAAAATAAAGTTTTCCTTTCTTTTTTCTGTAGCCACTCCAACAAGCACAAACAAAATATGAAAGAGGCGACTGTATCGTCGCCTGGGAAGAAGGTTGTAATTAAACTCATAAGCAGCTCTTGGGAGTAGAGGAACTTTTTGTCAAAGCCGCCATTTTGTGAGTGTGTGTGTGTGTGTGTGTGTGTGTGTGTGTGTGTGTGTGTGTGTGTGCGTGTGAGCCTGCCCCCAGCAGTTTAAGGCTCAGAGACTGTGTGTGGTCCCGTTTTTTTGGACAGCTCTCAACTTTCCAAAAAGATTTGTTTCCGGCTGCAGGGAAATCAGCAGAGTGCGGACAGAAGCTGGTGTTAGTGAGGTGTCGGTAAACACTTCTACTTGTCATTGTTGGAGTAAAAGTTGTTTTGTTTAGAAAGAAACTTTAAAAAGGTGGAATGAGAGCGTGCATATGGGTGGTGCTTTGGGGGGTAAGGGGAAGGGGTAGAGGTTTTTTTTTCCCCTTCCCTTTGATCTGCATTCCTGTACTTAAGGCGAGAGCTGGCTGTTGTTATCATGAATGGAGAAGCAGGTTTTGCCATTGAAACTATCTTTTACGCCCACATTTGTTCATGTTCATTTCCTCCCTTTTACTCTTTAACCGACAAATCTGAAATAAAGGAAAAATAACCGTCAGCATCAAAGCACAGATCGTGCACAGATGAAACACCCCACCTCCTCCCTGGGTTGGCTGTTCTCCGCTTTGCATGCTGCTGCAGGGGTCTGACAGACAGCGTGCTGCAGCTCGGGCAAAGTGGGGTCTTATGCAATTTTTTTGCGTTTCGTACCACTGTCAGGAGATCTATAGCAAAGCTGCAACATGTAGCACAAAATAATACGAGACTTTAGGAGATTCTTCACTACGACTACTTTAAATGGTAAAATCGTAAATGGCCTGTATTTGATATAGCGCCTTCTAGAGTCCTGGAACCCCCCAAGGCGCTTTACAACACAATCAGTCATTCACCCATTCACACACACATTCAGTGCGTTTACATGCAGCCAGTAACCCTTTTAAAACCCGAATATTCACAATAACCCGGTTCCGCAGGTCCGTGTAAACACCGCCAGAAACCCGGATATGCTCATAACCGGGGTAACCCTTTTCTAACCCGAATGTTTGGTCGTGTAAACGCATATCGGGATATCCCCATCAAAGCGTGTGTTCTGCGCATGCTCTGTTCGCAAGGAATCTCAGTCTTTTGAGTAGCGAGACGTCTTGTATGCGCCAGAACTCCGGAAGTAAACAACAAGTTGGGAGCAACATGGCGAGTCGCGGCACAGCACCACACTTTTGGAGTGACGAGGAAACTAAAGCGCAAACAAATGCGGTCGCTATCTCTTCCGAACTGGGAAACATGTTGTTTTCACGGATACCGGAACAAGAAGAACCGGAAATGACGCATATTGTGTCTGGACGTAGTCCGTACGTCCTGGCGCTACCCCAACGTCCGCATTTAAATCGGGTTATGCAAGTTAGGGGTAACTCTTTCTATTTATGCTTGTAAACGGGTTATTCTGATCAACGCAGAAACCCGAATACCGACCTTAACCCGATCATAACCCGGATATTGGCTGCATGTAAACGTAGTGATTCACACACTGGTGGGGATGAGCTACAATGTAGCCACAGCTGCCCTGGGGCGCACTGACAGAGGCGAGGCTGCCGAGCACTGGCGCCACCGGTCCCTCCGACCACCACCGGCAGGCAACGTGGGTTAAGTGTCTTGCCCAAGGACACAACATCAGCAACAGATTGAGCGGGGCTCGAACCTGCAACCTTCCGATTACGGGGCGAGCACTTAACTCCTGTGCCACCGTCTTTAGTTATTGCCTAGACTGCACTATATCCGAAAACTGCGATTTTATTGGATGTCACGATGATATCAGTTGCGATTTTTCTCTTTTTTTCCCCGTTGTGTTCTTTATTTAATATCACAGGTTGGGAGATTCTAGAGAGAGTTCATCAAATTGGCCAAAAATGTTATTATGTTTATTTATTTAGCAGACATTTTTACCCTAGGCAAGTTCACTTTTTTGCGATACCGATGAAGCGAATAACCTAACATGCATGAGAAGAACACACTCCCTGCATTAACAACAGTTTTCACCATTATTCGCTAAAAATATCCATAAAAATCGGGTCTAAAATACAAGGGGGCGGGTCCAAGTCTCTGGACAACGCCATATTAGACGCAATGTTTTCTTCTACGTGAACCCGTGAGGACAAATGCTTTTTCTGATTAGTAACAAATGGTTGCAAAACTTTTGATATTCATAAACGTTGCTGTTTTACACATTTACCTCTTCGCTCGTTGCCTGTGACGAAAGGAATTTGATGCTCTTGGCATTTTGCTGGAGGTTGAACGATTTGACGAAGTACTCATTTGAAAATTGCGCCCCCAGGGATTTTTGACCCTACTGGCCATCCGTTGATAAGGTCTTACTCGAACACAAAAATACTGCTTGCTTGCAAGGATTTAGGCATGTAATGCACTCCATCACCAGGGAAAATAGTAAATACACACCGTTACGTTAAAGGGGTATTCACAGCCACATTTTTGTTGTTGTTGAACAACGGCAGCTTGGTTGGTCAAATGCAGCTATGCCAAAAAGTCAGAGCCGTGCCTCAACTGCTCTCTATGTAAATTAGAAAATTGAAAACGCGATGGAGAAATGGTTCAATCTAAGAAAAGCTGCCTGATTACGTAATAAGAAACACCTGTTTACATTTAGATGTTCCAACCCACTTTAGTGTCCGCAGTAATGCTAAATGCAGAACGACTAGGTCGAGCTACTGCTAACGCTAGCACCTCAACTGACTCCTTTCGATCCGGAGGAGCAGCGGTTCTACTCCGAGTCCCTCCCGAATGTCCGAGCTCCTCACCCTATCTCTAAGGCTGAGCCCGGCCACCCTACGGAGGAAACTCATTTCGGCCGTTTGTATCCGCGATCTCGTTCTTTCGGTCATTACCCAAAGCTCATGACCATAGGTGAGGATTGGGACGTAGATCGACCGGTAAATCGAGAGCCTGGCTTTCTGGCTCAGCTCCCTCTTCACCACGACAGATCGGCTCAGTGTCCGCATCACTGCAGACGCCGAACCAATCCGCCTGTCGATCTCCCGATCCCTCCTACCCTCACTCGTGAACAAGACCCCGAGATACTTAAACTCCTCCACTTGAGGTAGGACCTCTCCCCCGACCCGGAGTTGGCAAGCCACCCTTTTCCGGTCGAGAACCATGGTCTCAGATTTGGAGGTGCTGATCCTCATCCCAGCCGCATCACACTCGGCCGCGAACCTACCCAGCGAGAGCTGAAGGTCAGAGCTGGATGAAGCCAGGAGATAGGCAGACATAATTCCTAAATATAAGCATGTCCTTTCTTTTAAATCAAACATATAGTACGCAGAATTAACTGATATTTTCGGCATTTGCTTCCCATATTTTCCCTGATGTTAACCCCGTAAACAGCATTACCAGACTTAACTTTCTGGTGAACCTGGCACTTGCAGTGTAGTGACCTCTGGGTGACATCTACAATACGCTCTCATACTGACTCACGGCGATAAACAGAAACCTGCTCGCTTACACAGACACTGTCAAAGAGACGGGGCTGCTGTGGTTTCCCAGGTACGTGAGGGGTTCCAGATGCTGGTGGGGAGAGATCTGTTTGTTTAGATTAGAGAGCACAGCTGAGGGATAGATTAGTTCTGCCTGGACCACGGAACACTGCGCTAGGTCGTGCTGGGGGGGGGGGGACTGCCCCAACGTCCGAGAAGAAGAAGAGGAAGAAAAGGGAGGAGAGGACAGGGCGAATGATTACGCTTCATCTGGAACTGCCCTCTACGGGTGACCCGTGGACGACCCCGCCTGGAAGCTGTGTGGCCTGTTGATGTGCGTACATTACAACCAGCCCGCGCTAGGTCCCTCAGAACCTCGTAGAATCAACTGCAGCCACTTCTGGGATCTCCCATTGGGGCCGTCCACTCGTCACCTGCTCTTTGGCTGTCCCTGAGCGACCGAGGGCTTCATCCATTAGCTGCATACCGAGGTTGTCCAGCGTGTTTATTCTCTTTTTCTTTTTTTTTGGGTCACGTGCAGCAACATTAGCGGGGATTGTCTTTTCTCACTGCGCTCACTCGACACTGTTTATAAATACTCAGACACAGGAAGTTCTGTTTATTGGACAAAGTGACAGAGAGCAATTGGGAGTGAGACGCATGCCTGCACAAAGAGGCGATTGTGGTTTTGTTCATCCTGACCTCAGAGGATGTATGGGGGGGGGGGGTTGTGTTTAGCTCAACAATAGGAAAGACTTTTCCAATACCTGGACTCAGCAGAATGAGGGTGGCGTGGATTCAGGTCCACACTGCAGCAAGACCCTGTGTTTATACCCACTCGCAGGAAGTAATTAGCTCAGACAGGAAGTTGTAGTATTGCGATGTCCCGTCTTGATCTTCCTCCACACAAGTACGACTTGAACTCCTCTCAGCTTGAGTATTGCTTCAGGTACACTCTTGAGTTTGAAATTATTTGCACTAATAAATTATTTTAACCTTTAGGAAGCAGAGCCGTGAAGCTCTAGGGAACAAGAACCTCTTTACTGGCCATATGTGGAAATTCGACCCGGGCTAAAGCAAACACACGGTAAATTGTAAAGAAAATACCAACACCGCCTGCCTCTAATTAAAACAGTATCACGTAAACACGGGCCTTCCGGTATGACGGCCTCGCGCTGTGGAGCTGGGGATGACGTGGCTCCACCAATCGAAA